CGGTAAAGACGGGGAAGGTGGCCTTTGTCTCGAGATTGAGTGTCATCTCTGCTGTCTGCTTTGTTGATGTTGTTGTTGTCTTTCTTCAAGTACTGCTCGTAGTTGACTGCTGCTGATACTGCGCAAGACACTGATAGACCTGTTAGGACCTTTCCTGTAGTCAGCTGAATAGAGGATCTGCTGGGCGGTAAGTCGCAGAGTAAGGGTGCCTTTTACTTTAATAAGATCGATGGACTGGCCAGTCAGTCAAAGTTGTTTTTGTCCATGTATGGCATCATGAAGGGTGGTCAACACAGATCTCACTTCGGTGATGGCTGATAAGATCGTGTCTCCTCAGAATGCTTTCCTTGTCTTTCCTTGTCTTCACCTCTCTCTCTCCGTTACACAGCAATCTACCCTAGCTCACAAGCTCGCAGTGATTCGTCTTGCCAAGCTGACAATCCTGACACCAATGCATTCGTCGACTAGGTCAAAAACACTGATATGCAGTCAGTGCCACACACAGCGCAAACGGCACTCACTCACTCACCGCCGTAGTCGCTCCCTGGCCAGCCAGGAGGTATCCAAATGAATCAGTCAAGGGCACACGACCAACGAAGTACGCGCCTGCCAGTTCAGCCACACACAGCAGTCTAGCTACCGACCAACAGCCACCTAATCACAGTAAGTGCCAGTGATATGAACCGCAGGGAGGGGGAGGGATGTTGCCAGGTATGTGTGTGTGTATACGAAGCGCTGCGACGTGCACATCGGAGAGAGTCAGCACATCGGAATGAGTGCATTGTTACCAAAAATAGGTCACCGCACGCAAGCCAATCGAATCCACACGCACGGCACGCAACACATCGACGTCGCCATACACACACGCACACGCATTTGTAGAGAGTATCCCCTTGAGCAAAGCTATTTTCAACCAACCAGCCCGCCACCTGATTAATCACAGACGCCCTCTTGCTCTCGTCCCCCGCCCGCATTCATCGCTAGCCACACAATAACCAACCAACCAACTATGTATGCACATTCTCCACACGGGGAGCCCAAGAAGACTGTTCGATGCTAGTAGGACGGTGACATGGCAGACATTGACTCCGCACGTCGGCTAGCTCTGTCATCCGCAGGTCAAGGTCCGCCGCCGACTTGTCCATTCAGACCACCCCTCCCCCTCCCCCTCCCAGCCAGCCAGCCAGCCACAAGTCATTTTGTACACCCGCCTGTCTCCATATCTGTATGAGTGTCCATGCGAATGGAGAAATGAGAAAACACGAAGGAGACACACACAAAGGAAGACAGATTCGATACGGACAAATGAGACGTGCACACCCAGCATACCACACCAGCACCAGACAGCGTGAGTCAGGTGAGAAGAGAATAGGACAGAGGCAGGGAGATGTCTGTCATCGATCGTCAGTCACTCAGCTAGCTTGAAGACGATGAAGAGCCACATACAGGTCGACGCCGCCCCGACCACTGCACACGCGGAAGAACGAACACTGCTCTCGTCTGTTCGGTCTCGTGTGTGTGTGTGTGTGTGTGTCGACATGCGCACCTCTGGTTTGTCAGCGCCTGTACCGTGTGATGGCTGCCATCTTGCTGACGGCCACCGGGAAGCGGGGGCCGTTGCCGCCGTCCTGCGGCTCCTCGGTCGTGTTGATCTCCAGGTCGACCAAACCGGTGCCGTCGCCCCTTCTGCTGAGGGCCATGTGCACCGCACACGGGTCGCCCGCCTCCTCGCCACACAGCACCACCAGACGGCTTGACGTGCCGCCGATGGTGTGGTCGGCTGTGCGGCAGCCGTCCTTGAGCATCTTGATGGCGGCCTGCGTGGGGGGGTCGTACTGCTCGATCATCTCCGGTGTGACAGCGTCGCCTCGGATCTCCTGCCCGCCCAGAAAGAACTTCTCTGCACACACAGATTTATTCAGGCAGTCATTCACACGGATGGGTGAAGCAGATGAGTGTGTGTGGGTACGCAGAGTCTGTCTGACCTCGCCGAAACAGAGGCGCTGGCTCGTCCATGAGGAGGTCGAACGTCACGCCGCGCCCTGGCCCTTCCATGAGGAGGTCGAACATCACGTCGCACCTCTCGTCCAGCTCGCACCAGGCCTTGCAGTACACCGGCCGCGCCCCCTCAAACGTCAGCCTGAATGAACGAATGAGTGGATGGATGGAAGGAAGAGCCAAGGGAGACAGAGAAACGCGGGCCACTCATGGCGGGCACTTTGGTGTCTTCTCTCTCTCTCAACGTACTTCCGCAACATCACGTCGCTAAACTTGCTGTATCTGGCACGCCCGACTGCAGACAGACAGACAGACAGACAGACAAGAAGAACATGAGCATGCCTCACTTCGTTGGTGCGTTGCCCTCTCCAACCTACGTGAGATCGGCGGGCCATCTCTGTCGATGCTGCTCGACTGTGTGCCTCTCGTCGACGCCAAACCGCTCAGAATACCACGCCCCCCCACGGTCCCCGTCACGCCCCAGTCACCGCTCCGCGGCAGCTCTAGCCCTCTGCCCAGCCGATGGCCAAACAGTGACCACTGTCGGATGGCGGAAGGGCGGTCGAACAGGGCCTTCCTGCCCACCATGTCGACGTCGTCAGCCGTCAGCTCGATGGGCAGCGACTCGACCCGCTTGTGGTGCTTGGCCAGGCGTATGAGCCCCCCACTGCCCGTCCAGTCACCCCCCGCTCCGAACACGTACGCCAAGCGCACCAGCCGAAACGGCTGGAGGACGCCCGCCGACTGACTCACCGGCCCGAAAGCGAGCACGTCCGACAGGCCCCGCCTCGCCAACAACCCTCTGATCTCCGGCACGAGTGTCGCCGCGACGGCCCGTCCGACAGCGGGGGCGGTGCTGTAGAGGGAAGTGTTCATCTTGGCCATTGTGGTGTGGTGGGTCTGCTGGTCGACGAGTTGGGTGTCCTGCTGGCTGGCGAATGGCAGGAGCGTCTCGCGAAGAATGTCTGCGGAGAGCATGTTCACGCTCCGAACGAACTCAACCACGTCGACCTGACACACAGAGAGAGAGGGATGGCGCGTCCATCTTGCTGACAGCAGCACGGTGTGACACTACCGGACGTACCTGCTCCTGGTGAGGATTCCTGGTGAGGATGCTGAGGGCGTCTAGGAATGAAACTCCGAAGCCCGTGTTGGACGACTCCTGCACAGCAAACAAGGGTGTGCGCACACACACGGATGGGTGGCCTCTCAGGTACGTCACCTGTCCATCCTTATTGGCTCGGCCGATGTAGGCGCAGGTCTTGAGGTGGCCATCCAGCTGAACCAACCACACACCCACACAAACACAAACACGGCAGAGACCATATCAATACTCGCCCGAGACAACCAGATCATTCACGTGTGTGTGTATGTGTGTGTGTTTGCGGACCAATGCTACTTCGTCGAGGTGTTTGGACTCCTTCTGCAGTGGGCGCAGTGTGTCGGCGATGCCGGTGATGGCACTCTGCAGCGCCGGTAGCCGGCTGGCCGCCACAGACCCCTACACCCACAAGACACACGCAGCCAAAGGACGGATGAATGGATGGGTGGACGACACGCCATGAGCCGACCGACTCACTGACCTTCGCAGCCAGGTGCGTGATCGCGTCGCCCATCTGCATACACACACACACACACACCCAGCAAACACGACACATGTCACTCCACCCACCACCTCCGCCCATCGACCCATCCCCGCCGCTCTCACCTGCGAGTGCAGCACAGCCGCCTGCTCGTGCAGGTCTTGCATACGCGCCAACGCATCATTGAACCGCTGCAAAGGCACACAGACGACACCATGGTGAGCAGCCGGACGACTGCTTGACGCGTGTGTATCGCTGCATGGCATTGTTCTCTCAACGCCGATCGGTCATCCCGTGTGCCGCCCTGGTCGCTGAGTGACGTGAACAGATACCCAAACACACCGCCGCTACGTGCACCACCTGAACCGAACCAACACAGACAGAGCACCGCACGGCTCTGTTTGTTTGCTTTCTTATCCATCTCACAGCCGATGAATCAGCCCACCAACATACCTGCCGCAGCCTGGGCCGCAGCTGATGTCGACGCTCCTGATGCTGCTGCGCCGTTCATTCTGAGGGCCCAGCGACTGAGGACACAATCTAACGGAATCGACGAGGAAACCTGGGAGCGCCGGCGCCCAAATCCTAAACACTGTAGGTAGGTTCCGAGGAGGGCGTGCAGGTCATCATCGAACTGTATGAATCACACACACAGACGGACCCCCACACACACAGAGACAGGAAACGTTACATCGAGGCGGCGACAACCGGCCGCTTCGTGTGTGTGTGCGGACCAGTGCTACTTCGTCGAGCTGTTTGGACTCCTTCTGCAGTGGGCGCAGGGTGTCGGCGATGCCGGTGATGGCACTCTCCAGCAGCTTCTCGCGACCCTCAGTAGCTACACCGCCCTGCACAACCAAACAAATAAACAAACAGAGAAACAAACAAACAGAGAGAGAAACATCACTGTGGGTGAGTGTTTGGCTGTGTGTCAAACACAGACCTTGGCGGCAGAGAACCTGATCGTGTCGCCCATCTGCACACACACGCCACACACGTCACTCCGCTGGCCTGTCTGCCGTCCAGTGGTGTGCTCTCACCCTTGAGTGTAACGAACCAATCTGCTCGTGCAGGCTGAGCAGCACGCCAACCATCTCACGGAACCTCTGCAAAGCACCGCACACACCACACCATGACAAGCAGACGAATGCGCGATGTGTGGCTGAGTGTCCTCTCACCGCTGATCGGTCGTCTTGCGTGTTGCCATTGCTGCTGAGTGACGTGAACATATTCTTGAAGAGATTGCTGGTACTTGCACCACCTGAACCGACACAAAGTTCACAAACAAACACCGCCACAGCACACAGCAACACACTCATTGCAGCACACTGAGTGTGACGCTCCTCTGTCTGCCTTTCATCCATCCCTCTCCCGGCCAGTCAATCAGCCCACCTGCAGCAGCTGATTTCGATGCTGTCGATGGTGCCGCCGCTGCGCCGTTCATGCCGCCAGCAGTGCTGTGTGCCTGGAGCAAGAAGAGGGCGGCGCCGTGAGAAGTGAAGGATCGGCCAGGGAGCCGCCGGTGTCACCTTCGGAGGCGAGCCCTCACACCTCCTCGGCACACCTCAGAAAATCGGGAGATCTAGGGTCAAGGGTATCACAAACCCTGAACCCTTTTGGCGCAGGATCGCCTCGCGCTGCAGGTGGGCGCTCTTGGCAACGGCATGACCATCTTTTGATCGAACCGGACCTGCCGTATTCCCCTGTCTGTGCGGCCACGTGCGACTACGCAACGGGGACTCCGAGCGGCGGCCTTGGCGGCGGCCATTGCAGACGCATCCCTGTGCAGCCATGGCAAGCCCTAGCACGCCCGAAGGTAACTCAAGGGTGCAGAGAAGAGGGCGACGCCATCCATCCATCCATTCTGCGCGGTGCTGCCGGCCCGCTCAGGATGCACGGTGCTGTCGGTGATCCCCACCAACCAACCAGCCAACAGCCAGATCATCCCCAGCAATGGTCGACACACCGCACAGAGGCGTCGCTCGCACCGTCGTTCGACTGATCTTTCGTGCTGCACTGCAGGCGTTTTGGGGCGGTTTTTCAACTGGGCCAGGAAGAAGGCGCCGCTGCTGAAGTGGGACGACCTGACCGTCAACTGGGCCATCTACGAGGACACACGCAGAGGTCGGGGGGAGGAGGGTGGGAAGGGACACGGGACTGGATGGACGGACGGACGGACGGACGACCGTTGTGGTTTGTTTGTCTGTGTATTCAGCGTTGGTGGGCGTGTGGGAGACCCTCGCGTCACCTAATGTCGAGGCCGATGACGTCAAGGACTCTGTTTCGTGCTTCCTCTTGGCCGAGGCCAACCTCATAAGGTAGGTGAGACACACAGGTAGGTGTGTGGTGGCGTGAATGCGTTGTGTGTGGTGTGGTGCAGCGGTTTGTTGAAGACTGACAACGTAGAGCTGACGGAGGCCAAGAAACTCTACCAGAAGGCTTACGAAATGGCAAAGGAGGTGGGGCCACACACTCACACCCACCTTCCCCCCCTCCCCACACACACCCACACAGCCAGGGCCAGAACGCATATCTCGCGTGCTGAACTGATGCGCATGGATGGATGCAGTGGTATGAGGCGGCCAACACGGTGTACAGGGCCAGGGCGGCCGTAGACGCGACACAGAGGACGGCCATCCAGGTGAACACAACCCCCCACACAAACATACATACGACACAGACGTCCACAATTTCTTCTCTATGCTTGTGTGCACGTCAGATCATGTCGTGTTGTTTGATGGTCATGGGCGAGGCTGCGTTGTTCAAGTCGCTCATGAAGGTGCTCATGAAGGTGCTCACCATCTTCCCCGAACAAGTGCCCCTCCTGCTCGACTCGGTCGCGCTTGGTGAGTCGGCCACACCCGCACAAACGCGACACACTGTGTGTCTCTTTGTGTGTTGTGCGGGCAGATGGCGATGTGTCGTTCGCGTCAGTGTGGTCGAGTCTCAAGACGAGCGTGCCTCTGGTCTCCGAGTGTGTGGAGCTGTGCCGCCAGACAGCCTGCGCACTCGGCAATGCCATCAACCACTACGAGAAGGCGCGCAAACTACTCAGCAAGATCAACATCGCCCTCACCAGGTGAGAGTGAGAGAACATACCAAGCACCAACCTGGGCAATGAATCATTATGACGCTGTGTGTGCAGTTCGCACGGGGCCGCCGCAACGTCGGCGTCGTGGATTCCTCCCTGGCTGAGGGAGGGCGACCCCACGGTCAACACGGACACGCGAATTGTGCAGCTGGAGGAGTGGGACTCTATGGTGATGGACATGCTCGATGGGGTGAACGCCATAGAGGGTGAGGGAACGGCACGCACAGCACCTCTCTCTCTGCGGGTGCGTCGTTGAATGGATGGCTCTGTGCCTTTTTGTGTGTGCGGGTTTCGTCAACTTCTCGCTGGGACTGGATGGCCTCGGCGCCTCAAAGGCCCTGTTCAAGAGCATCCGTACGCACAGCCAGCTGCATGCCGGCAGGCACCCTTTGACGCGTCCAGCCCGCACCCATATCTGTCCGTCCGTGTGTGTGCCTGCAGGTGCGGTGGTGTCGATAGTCGTGTTCCACGTCCGCGGCTTCCAGTCGTTGCCGTCGGATTGGGGCTACGGCGACTCGCTGCTGAGCAATGTGAGGCAGAAACAGAGGGGAACAGCCGTCCATGCAGCATTTATCGTATCGGACCTTTGTGTGGACAGATACGTCGTCACGGCACGGTGCGTCTGCATGGGTGGATGGCCAAATACGTACGGGACTTAGTCATCGGCTGCCAGGGGTACCTGCCTCCTCCTGATACGGAGCACCAGCAGGTGACCGTTGGTTGATGAAGAACGAAGGGCACGTATGTACATGTATGTATGCGTGTGTCCGTCTTGCAGGAGATCTGCTTCAGCTTCTACCTTCCCCCGGTCGTCGCGAAGGCGGCAACCATGAGCAGAAAGTAAGAGGGGGTCCCTGCAGCCAACCATCCAGCAGGGTCATATGACTGTGCAGGTTTCAACTCGGACAGACGGCGGAGGTGTGCACCCTGTTGGAGAGACTGATGCAGCGGTACAGTACACACCCCACACAAGCATCCACCATCAACCCATCCATTCCTTCGTTTTGCTGTGGTCCGTTTTCTGCAGCGTTGGTGGTGTCGAGAGTGTGCTGTGTGGTGGCCTCGCTGGCGAGTGCGATGACTACTTCAAGCCCGTCCACAAGGTCCTTTACGCCACGTTGGCTGCCGCACCATACTTCGTCAACAACGACTACGCCAAATGCCTCCAGATACTCAAAACAAGTCGGTCCATTCGCACCCACACACCGGGCAGCCAGCCACAAACACCATATTAATACCACATGCATTCATTTGTGCAGCGAGTGGTGCTGCTGCTGGTGGTGGTGATGGTGGTGTCTCGTCGATCCTTGAGGCGTATGCCGCGCTCTACGTCGTGTCGTCGCTGCTGTTGGATGAGCGTGAGGAGGCTATGGCCATGCGCCAGGCCTACCTGAAAGTATGACGTCACAAACAAGAAACAAGGAGATGCGACTCACTCACTCACTGCAGCTGCTGTGCCTCCATCTTCCCGTGTTTGTATGTCAGTACATAGTCCCAGGTCGCTGGAGCTCGTGGCCACTCCGCGGGACGCTCTCCATGATGGAGCGTCTGACCGACCCGTATCTGACGGAGCGTCTGACCGGCAACCCAAGTTACCCAACGTACTTACACACACAGAGATTCACACACGCATAAGACATTAAAGACAGGACCACACACGGGCCGAATGAATGGATGCACACAGGTACCACATGGGCCGTCTCGCCTACTTCAAGGTCGTCACGAGCCTCACGGGCTTCCCCGATGACGGGCCCGGTCTGTTGGCAGACGCGGACTTCAGAAAGGCACTCGAAGCAGAGCTGCAGCAGGTACGTGAAGGCGCAAATCCCACCCATGTATGTGCGTCAATCAACCAAGTTCCTTTGTTCTGTTCAGTATGAGGCGATGCTGAGGCCAGACGACCCGCCCGAGGACGGCGTGCCCGCCCAGGCCAACGACAAAGAGTGGGATCTGTGCAGGAGGATGCTAGGTATGCTGCCAGTCCACACAGCACACGACACAATACAACACAACACCACCCACGGCGGCCTCGGTATCCTGTCTGCAGTTTGTTGCCAAACACTCAAGCAGGAGAAGGAAGACAAGAAGAAGTGCGAGGAGGAGCAGGAGAAACACAACACAGATCAGCAGGAGGAGGAGCCTCCCACAGCCCCTCCCGTCCACCACGCGCCTCACCTGCCGCATCAGACTGCCCCGCCGAACTAGATAGATAGATAGATAGAGGGAGGGAGGGAGGGAGGGATAGAGATGGGAGGGGTAGCATGGCTTGCTTGGCTAAGTTCTTGGACGGATGGATGGAAGGATGGCTGATTTCGGACAAATGGGGGGATGTGGGTTCATAGGCACCACATGGCATGCATGGTCTGTGGTGCGTCTTCCTATAGCCTAAGCTCATCGCCACCACTCATCCATCCATCATCCACCAAGGCGTGAATCGGCTCGCGTGTCAAGACAGAAACACCCAACGACCTTCCGAAAGGAAAATAACATGACACTGCCTCGCTCGCCCTCTTCTCTGGTTCCTGCACCGTGTTCGGGCCGCAACGTGTCTCCGTCACGACACCTCAGCCAGTAGCCAACCTGCACACGCACACGCACACACACACACCACACACACACAGGTCAATGCACCCAATGTGCCGAACGAAGGCATGCCGTGCGTGTGTGTGTCTGTGTGTCTTGGAGTGGCTTGCGGCGATGGGCGTAAGCTGGGCTACACTTTGTTTGCACCCGTCCTTCGATGCATTGATTCGTCTGTGTTCCGGGCAAAAGACTCGTCTTTGCCTCGTTTGGCGGTGGTGGTGGTGGTGGTGGTTGGAGTGCTTGTTTGGCGACTGTCTGTCTGTCTGTCTGTCCAAGGTTTGCATGTGTATAGCAATGCTGGATGCCGATTTGATGGGAGACAGACACCAAACGTTGCACTCTTGTTTGTTCGTCTCTGTACACATGGTTGACGTAGAGAAGTCACGGCAACCATGACACAACAGCGCGGACACACCCATGGCCAGTCAGTCAGTCAGTCGACCACACATCGATGGACACACACACACATACATGCACACAGCCGTCCACATATCTACACATCCGCCCCCCTCACCCCCCTCACCCCCTCCCTCAATCACGCAGATGCCTGCACGCATCTGGCTGCTGCTATCTATCTGACTCACCCGACTAACTCGCTCAGTGAGTCAATGATTTGCTAGTAGACCACTTCGTCGCCGAACACCAGCACGGCATCGTCGCCCATCACCTCACGGACAACTCGCATCGTCCGGGGGAACCGCGCCGCTCCCGCCGCCCCCGCCACCGGCCGCTCGGTCGTGTAGAGGTACCCGTACGCGGAGCTCAGCTCTGCAAAAATGTTGTGTGCGAGGGTGCTGTGTACGTACACGTGGGCCTCGAAGGCGTCCCCTGGCTGGTCGGCGCATAGCACGATCACTCGCCCCACGTCCCCCACTGGCGACCGGCACGTGGCGACCGTGTGGTCGGGCACCTCCTGCTGGACGAGCGCCCTCTCCAACAGAAGAGGAGAGAAGAGGGGTGCGATGACACTTGTTTGTGGACGCGTCCGTGGGTGAGGCGATCGTGTGCGTGCGTGTGTTCGACCGACCAGTCGGCGATAGAGAGTCTGTCTTTCGTCAACGAACTTGTAGGCGACTCGCGACACAACAGGGCCCGACCTCATGCTAAATGACCAGACAGACAGACAGAAATACAGAGAATGCATTGTATGTATGCAGTGTGTGTTTGTGTGTGGCTTGCTCTCGTTTTATTTCTGCACATGGACAACACCGCCCCCCGAAGTGACGCATAGTACCCACCTGCAAAGACAGAACGCCACACACGAACCAACCGAAGTATCCATGTACTGCCACCGCAACTGCCCTCCCTCCCTTCCAACAGCCATTGCCCACTTACCCATGTACTCACACACGGGGTTGTTGCGGTCGAATGAGGCCCAGGAGCGGCTGGGGACCGGCAGCGACAACCGCTCGCCGCCCAGCAGCTCGTGGCCGTCGCTCGTGTGGTCGAGTATCATGCTCCTCTGGCCACGGCTGTTGAGGCGGCGACAAATGAGGGACAGCTGACGGAGCGCCATACAGCGGCCGTCGAACAGCCCCCGACTGCCCACCCCCTCCACGTCACCACGCCGCAGCACCATCTTGGGACCGTCGAAGCGGCCCTGGTGGTACGCGACTCGGCAGATGGGCTTCCACCCCTCCCACTCGCCGCTGTTTCGGATGACGTACAGGAAGCGCAGCAGCAGGCCGGTGGAGGGCAGATCGTAGTCGATGATGTCGTCGATGCCCTTGGTGCGCAGCTCAGCGTTGATGAGTGGCTTGAGGGTGGCGTCGGAGTACTGTCGGCTGGCGAGGCGGCAGGTGGAGCGCATGGCTGCGATGCTACTGGCGAGGCTGCCGCCCAGCAGAGGGAAGAGTTTGTCGCGCTCGGCGTCCTCTGTCATGCCGAACACACCTGGCACCTGAATGTGCACACAAAGCCGCGACCAAAGAAGACAGTATTATAAGAGGCAACCAACATGCAACCGGGTCTTCTATGCGGCTGGCTGGTTGTGTGTACCGGTTCTACACGATTGCCCCGTTCAGGCAGAGGCGTGGTCTCGACGTACACGAAACGCACCTGCACACACGGACAGACAGACAGACAGACAGACATGGGATGATTCCATCCATCCATCCATCCCCCCAACCCACCCAACAGTGGATGAGCATCTCTCTCAATGTGCACGCACCTGCTGGTCCCGGGGCGATGTGGTCGTCACGTGCGGAATCACCACACAGAACTCCTCACCGCTGCCACTGCTAACCTCCTCCTTCAAGGACACCCTCGCCGCCCCGCCACTGGCCACCTCCCGCTTGTACACCTTCGCCTTCACCCAAGCCTCCGGCTGGTCCTCCTTCTTCTTGCCCGACACCATCCACACAGAAGTGCCCATCTGGTAGGAAGAAGCCGGGTAGATGCGCGCGGTGCTTTGCGGCTGTGGCTGTGGCTGTGCCGCTGCAGCTGATGCCGATGATGATGACGACGATAGGGGACCGCCCATGGTCGAGTCAAAAAGCAGACGGCCCGACATCTCCCTCGAGTCAGCTGTCAGATCCAGGTGTCAGACGATGAGTGCGGCGTGAGGGCGGGGCGCTGACCAAAGGGGCGCAGGAGGAACGAGGCTATGCGAAGGAATGCGGAAGGGCTGCACATGCTGCAATTGCAATACATGCAGCACTCCTTCCCGCGCCAAGGCTGAGTTTTCTTGACGAATGATGCGAGCTCACTTTTTGGCCCACTGGTGGCCCCTGGGCGTCTCAAGTCTCCTCTCCCCTTCGGGAACAGATGACGGAAGCAATAATATCCCTCGGCGAGAATTGGAGACGGGACGAGAAAATCGAAAACTCGAGACAGAATCCAGACAGAATTCGTCCCGCTTTTCACAGTTTTCGTCCGCACTCCGCTTCTCGCCCTTCTTTCGTCCACAGATCCTCCGTTTCTTGTTCTTTTCATCTGCTGTTTGGCTGGTGTGGTTCGCACCATCCTCCTCTACCCCTCCCAACTCGTCCGGATGTCGTCTGCCACTTCCTTCCTCACCAGGCGGCAGCAGCAGCAGCAGCAGCCCGGCACTGCAACAAGGAATCTTCTTTCTAAGCCGTCATTAGCGTAGGAAGAGGAAGAGGAGGAAAAGGAGGGAGGGAGGGAGGGAGGGAGGAGATGGCAAAGGCAGAGAGGGAGGGCAGGGATAGGGAGCAAGACGCAAAGGCCAGGCGCCGAGAGGAAATCCGAGACAAACAGGCCAGTCAGCCACTCACTCAGTCAGTCAGTCAAACAGACAGCCAAGAGGGCAGACAGACAGACAGACAGACAAACAAAGGCTCCAGCACCTGGGTGTGCTGGGGTAATGTGTGTGTTGAGGTGTGTTTGGACGGTTGGCTGGCTGACTGACCATGTGTGTATGTGCCTGTTTCTTGTGCAGGACGCCATGATTCATCGTGTGGTAGCGGGCTTTCGGCGCCCCATTGACGCGGACAGCAAAGCCGAAAGGGACAGGCTGTATGGCTTGTGCAAGGACCACCACAGCCCCACCGACGTCCCCACAGACAGTTGCGACGACGCCAAGGTGGGCAATTAGTTGAGTGAGGCATATGTACCTACATATGCACCGATATATGCATGCCTGGATACACTGACTGACTACTAAGCTTGGTCGTCACTGTGTGTTGCCTTGCCTTGTCTTGTCTTGTCTTGTGTGTGTCGTTCGTTGCCTGCCTGCATCCATGCAGGTGCAGGAGGATGGCCCTCGGACACGGGCTGCTCAACACCTGAGCAGCATCCACGACGCCATCGCATGCCCCGGCGGCCAGGGATCGACGGACAAGAACTCCGTCAACATGGCGCTGCGGCAGCTCAAGAGCGACCTAGAGGATAACTGTAGGCTGCGCCAGAGCGGGAGGTAATTGTGGGACATGAGGGGGGATAGCGGCAGGGGAGCCGCCTGGTGCCTAAGCCGCTTGTTGCCATTTCCATCGCCACTGCCAAGTAGGTCGCAGCGTCTTCGCAGGTCGCGGACGCCGTGACGCCGTGGATGTATCCGCTCACCCTGGATGACGGCAGTGCAGATCTGGATGGCCTCCTTGGCGTGATTGACTGACAGGTCGGCGTCGATCTCGGCCATCTTGAGAAGGGCCTGTAGCAACACCCACCCACCCACCCACCCACACACACACAGACAGACAGACAGACAGACAGACACGTGGGCATCCCTGAGTGCATGTGTGAAAGCTGACCCGCTTGGCTGGGTTTCTTTGGGAGTATTCTAGTGTACGACCTGCGCTGCGGGAAGGCCTATCTGCACAAGGTAACCAACGACACACGACCACACCATCAGTCGGTCGCCCCTCTCGCCACAGATGTCTGTGTGTATGGTTTGTGTGTCTGGTGTGTTGTGTGTGTGTGTGTGTGCGTGTGCACAGAAGGACCACTTAGCCGCCCTCGGCGATCTGCAGCAGGCCCGCTGGCCATCTCGCCGATGAGATCCTTCAACTGATCACGGCCGCAACAAAAGGGTACATGGATGGGGTCGGCGTAGCTGACGAGCAGTCCTTCGCACAGCCCATGACGATTCCCACTGTGCACCATCCGACGGCTGCCGAGGTGCTCGGGCGACAAACGCCTGTGTCAATCTACAACTCCGATGATTCGGTCGGTTCGCAGGGGCGATGAACGGATGCTGCCTGCCTGTTTGACTGACTGACTGACTGCAGGTGCGTCAATCGATCGATGTGCATCGCTTCGTGAGTGAGCACAACATCCCAGCCTTGTCGAAGATGGTGTGTGAGGTCAGCACGGCCCACTCACACCGCCACTCGAACAGTCGGCCAGTCGATCAGCAAATGGCCCACGGTGAGTCTTGTCGTGTCTCATGATGGCCCGTTCACTTCTGACATGTGTGTCTGTCCGTTCTTATCAGGCCATCGCTGCCTGCATTTTATATTGTGGAGACATACTCGTCGCTTCATCTCGCATCAACCAGAGGGCTGAGCGATCCAAAGGCACATACACACCGCAGCCAGGCTCCACGCTGCCCTCCACATATGCCCCTCCCCGCCTTCTTGCTTTGTGTCAGGCGATGGTGGCTTCGACCTGGTCGGCTTCGAAGTGGCGTGTCGACATCTGAATCCCTCCGACTCATTCTCTTTAGATGAGGGTGCACTCATCCATATGTGTGTTGTGTGATCAGAGTCGCCTGCCAACCCGCCCTAGCCGCAGACAGAATCAACCGACATAGAGCTGAAATGACGAGAGAGAATCGACCGACATAAACGCACAACGTGTCTGTCTGTATGCTCAGAGTCCCCCAAGGCGGACGGACGGCGGACACATGGATGTCTTTGGGTGGCCTCTCTGGTCTCATCCGATCGTGGGAAAAAAGTAGAACTTTGAGAGGTCCAGCGGCACCACCACCCCCTGCTGACGATGACGCAATTTTCGTCGACCGACCGCTGGCGGCACTACGCCATTCTCCGCCTCGACCCCTCGTGCGGCCCTAGGGAGCTGCAGAGGCGGTATCGCGAGATGGCCCTGGTAAGAAGCATTGGCAGTGGCTGCCGTACGCGTCGCTCATTGCCTGTGCCTTATCTGCAGGAGCGGCACCCAGACAAGCTGGGGGGCGACACCAAGGCCTTCCAGGAGCTTCTAGAGGCCTACGAGGCCCTCACCAAGGAGCTCCAAGGCCAGTCGGTACGCAATACAACAGCACACCATCGAGAGGAACCGCACTGCACTGACTGATGCGACGCCATTCCTTCGTCTCCTCAGCCGTACCGCCACGCCCGCCGCCCTCTCACCGAGGAGGAGAAGCGATATTTCTTCACGGCGGAGGAATGGGAGGAGATAGAGAGGGAGGTCAGCAGCCACACACACTGACAGACCGAGCTTGCTACATATATGTGCATCCTTCACGGCCTTTTGTGTGTGGATCTGTGTCACAGAAGAGGGAGAGCGCGGAGGTGGTGCGGCGGTGTCAAGAATGCTTCCGCAAGTACGAGAAGGAGTGGGAGCGCGATAAGGAGGCCGAGAGGACGGCGTACATGCAGCAGCAGCAGCAGAAGCAGAAGCAGCAGCAGGCCAAGCCCCACCGCCCATCAAGACGGTAACCGTCACCCTGAGGGGCAGCGACGCCGCGCCGTCCTCCCACGTGAGCCAAAACGCCTCCTGGCCCTCTGCCGATCTCCATTTTCGATGTATGGCTTCTTCTTTTCCTTTGCAGGTGGTGCCCGAGAGTTTAGATGTGCTGCTGAGGGACGTGCTCGACAAGTTCGGCTACGCTGGACTGCCCGTCCACGCGGTACACACACGGGATTTGTGTGTGTGTGTGTGTGTGTGTGCGCGACACAGCATTACCTCAGCCCAGCACCTGTTGTCGTGTTTCGCCATTTTGGGTCTGCCGCCGTCGAGCAGTCTGGAGGAGGCCTAAGAGGCCATCACCAAGTACCTCCAGACCGGCCCGGTGAGTGCACAGAGATTTCACGCTCAAACTGCACTGGCGCTCATTGTCTTAATTACCTTGTCCCTGCCTGTCGTGTGTGGTGTTTCCTCAGACTCACGAGGCCATCCATGACATCCTCAACCGCCGACCACTCACAAGGCAGCCTCTTCACCGCCTCTTCTCCGCCTCTTCGACCACTCACAAGGAGTACTGCCTGCCTCCCCTTGCAGACGGTATCCGGCGAGCTGGACGACTTTGTGCGGCGGGTGATGGAGAGGTTTGGCATCGACGGGCCCCATGGTGCCGTCCGGCTGTTGGTGCGTGGGCGGCTGGTGACTTCAACCGAGGAGCTGTGTGAGGGTGATCAACCTTGGCTGCCTGGGCGGTGAGTCATGTCACGTCTCTGCTCACCTTTGTATTTCTGACGGGTGTCTGCAATCATCGCTGGCTACATCTTATATCCTGAAGTTGGTGCCTTTACTCCCTTGCAGCAGAAGGCCATTTGTCTGGCAACGCATCTGTCTCTTGGCGGCATGGAGCCAGCCCTGGTGCCACGCTGGTGGTCGCCAGAGAATGCCGAGGACAGGCGGGACAGATATGGTGTGATTGCATGCGATGAATCGATGATGACCCAATAATGGACTGAATGTATTTGTTGTGCTGGTTTTGATAGTTCTGCTTGTATGGACGAGCTGCAGGGCAAATACAACTAATTCTAGTAAGTTTGGCCGGCCGGCTGGCTGGTCTGCTCTGGTCTGGTGGGTGCAAATGCGGCACCTACACACCCACCCCCCCTTCCCACACACACTCGCTCATTCATGCCGCTTACATAGCACGAGTCAAGGACAAAACTGACTGCCAGTTTCAGGTATAAGAAAGTGCGCTACTCACTCGCTGTGTGTGTCTGCAGAGCGCTGCGACGCACGCAAACATCCATTGAATGCACCAGAAATATGTTCCATGACGCCCGCACGGCATGACACACGATGAAGGCATCAATGTCGGCACGCTCAAGTGTGTCTGTTTTTCTGTCTGTCTGTACAGAGTATCCCCATCAGCGAAGCGATCGGATCCCAGCCAACCCGTCGATACCCTCTCCCTCCTTCGATACCCTCACACCCACATGACGACATGCTCGCACCCAGCCCCCAGTATCCTCACTCACTGCTGGCGGCATCCGTCTGCACACACCGAATGATTGGACAAACGACACAATGATGACATTTCGAAGTCACCACGTGTGTGTGCCGCTGACTTGCGTCTGTTGGGGTGTCCTGTTGGTCTGTCGATGTCTCCTGGGTGCCGCTGCCGCTGGAGTACTGACCCTGAGAACACACAATGAAGACAATGAATGGATGTGTCGTGTGCGGTCCCCTCCCTCACTCACGCACCGCTGTCGTGCTCTTGACGGACAAGGAGTAGACGCGCCCCACTTCCATCTCGCCCTCGCGCATGGGCTGCGTGTGAGCAGCCTCACTGACGGTCATCTCGCCCGCCTTGGGCAAGGCCTGGCCGTCCAGCCCGACGACCGTGAAGCTGTGTGGGGTGTTCTCGGCGTTGACGAGCTGCACGACGTCCCATACCTTCGAGTCGGGGTGGATGTCGTCCCTCTTGAGAAATAGGTTGTTCTTGTCGTACAGCGTCTCGGGGTCGTCCACATCCCCCTTGGACACCGAGATGAGCAGCAGGTTGTTCTTGTCGTACAGCGTCTTGGGGTCACTGTCCCACTTGGACACCAGAATGATCTTCTTGCCCTCACTGCTGCCTCCCGTGGGCGGGTTGGCAGGCGACTCTGAACACACGAAACACACATATGGCTGAGTGTCGGTGCGTCCATGTTTGTCATCTCTCGTCCAGTCCCCTCTCACCCACCTGAGGAGAGTGAGTCGATGTTTGCTTCAGATGTCTGCCTGGGGAACTCATACGGCGGCACGGCTGAGGCCGACGGCACATCCCGCGCCACACTGCCCAGCATCTCGCCCACCGCATTCCCCCCACGGCCCTCTCCCCCCTCCACACACGAGCCCTCTGCGCAGCCCACTTCCGCTCCGGCTCCCCCGACGAAGTGCTGGTCCTTTGGCTGAGCGTTGCCCGACACCGCCGCTGCCGCCGCTGGCTGCTGGCGCTCAAAGTTCTGAGGGCGGAGAATCGGGGGGCGGGGATAGACCGTAGCGAAACGCGGGACACTGCTGCTGCGGCTCGGCCGTGTCGCCGGATGAACGGGTGGCCGGCCGGGCGTCGCTGTGCGTCTGGGTGTGGGCTTGTGCGACGGGGGGCTGGGGGCGTCGGGTGGGTAGGTGGGTGGCGGAGGGGGCGGCGCTGCAGACGCACTGCCGATGTCCGACGTCTTCCGTCGAGGCATCGGCGGCGAGGCGGACTTGCTGGTTGACTGAGATGGGGACGGGGGCGCCTTGTGGCTCCTGCCGCTGGTCGTGTGGGAGTCCTCTTGCCCGAGCACGTTCTGCCACTTGGCGCGCACCGGCTTCACGTAGTCCTCCATGAACTCCTCCTTGGGGCGCATGTCCTTCTTGCCGACTCTCCTCTGTGTCACACAGCACAAAGGTGGTCTGGGTGAGTGTGCGGCTGGTCTTCGCTCCTCACCTCATGCTCATGTTGCTGGTAATCCTCCTCGGCCTGACGGAGTTGTTCTTTGTAGTGGCGGGCTATACAGTCTTGCTTCCAGCTAAACTCCTCCCTCCGCTCCATCCTCTGTAATACACACCACACACAGCACACCGGACGTGCTGTGTGAGTAGGTGACCCGTCCATCAAGAGTGTGTGGCTGGTCCTCGCCTGTCACTTGCGGGTGGAAGAAGTCCTGCCCGCAGGCGCTGAAAGGCCTCCCACTCGGCGTTCAACTCGCGGTCCCACTTCTCATACAGCCTCGCCCTCTGTGCACGCGACACACACATACGCAAATCCACACAGACAAAGGAGATTTGAGCCTTGCAAGGGTTCCAAGGGTGTGTGCATTAGTGGGCCTTTGTCTGTCTGTGTGTGTGTCGGTAAGTGGGTGTGTTGTGACCTTCTGGCGCAGCTCCTCTGCGGTGCACGTGGTCCACCTCGTCCTCTCGCTCGTGGGGGCGAAGTGGCCGAAGTGACAGTCGTCGCGGCAGCGCGAGTGGGCGGCAACGGCGCTCTCCACCTGCGTGAAGAAACGAACACAACGCAGACACGCAGGCACGGCGGGTACGCACCAGTATGGGTGAGCAGTGCGGCAACTTTCTCCTCTGCTCTGCCGTGTTGTTGTGTTGCGCACCTGGCGCTCCTCTAGTTCCTTGCGCAGGGCCGCGTAGGCCTCCTGCAGGTGTTGGAATCCCTCCTTGGTGCCGCCCTTATCGGGATGGCGGTACGGCCCCTCCTGCAGACAGCGCACAAACGATGACGATGCACACGGCGGGCCAGTCCGCATCTGTCTGCGGTTCTTCTTACCACCGCGAGCTCCAGGTACTTCTTCCGGATATCCTCGACGCTGCTCGTCGTCGGCAGGCCGAAAAGGGCCCAATGTCGCTGCAGATCAGCCGATGACGATGACGAAGGCATGGCTATGGTAAGAAAATATCGCCAGACACGGGGTACGAAAAGGAGAGGCGACGGGGCGGATTCCAAGACGGATTCCGATGCGAGCTTGAGGTCTGTAAACTTGTAGGAATCCGCAAGTCCCAGGCAGATCGTATGACATTCTCGGCCTGCACCCATCGAGCAGCCTCAATGATCTGCAGAACCGCTATCGGTCGCTGGCGAGGAGAACCGCAGAGAGAGCCGCACTGCACTGACCCACCGTGTCGACCGTCAGCATCGTTTGTGCGCTGTCTGCAGGAGGGACCGTACCGGCACACAGATAAGGGCGGCAGCAAGGAGGCCTTCCAACACCTGCAGGAGGCCTACGAGGGCTTCACCAAGTACTGTACCTCCAGACAAACCCGCACCCGGTACGCACCACAACATCACGTTAGGACAGCAAGGCAGAGAGTGGCCCTCATTCTTTGACGCTTTCGTTTCCTCAGCATTTCCTCAGGCACCGCTGTACTTCGACCCGGCGGACCTCAACAGCAAGCGCTTCCTCTTCACCGCCGCGGAGTGGGATGAGATACAGCGCGACGTAAGCAGCCACCCGCTGACCAAGCCACACGCACCGTGCCATGCAAGCTGCCCCCCTGTGTGTGCGTGTGTGTTGGATACATACGTGCAGCTCGCCGAGTGCCGGGAGAGGTACCGCGTCGCCGCCGAGCACAACCGTCGGTGCGAGGAGGCCTTGAGAAGGGAGAGGGAGGAGAGGGAGAGGGCCGCACGCGAGAGCGACCACGAGACCGCCACCCAGAGCCGTCATGGGCAGCCCTCCCCACCACCACGCCACCATCAGCCCTGCCCCCCCCCAAGGACGTCCCCCTGCCGCCCTTCTTATCGTCCCCGTCGGTGGCGTCGCCGGACTCGGCCGCATCGGCAGAGAAGCAGGACACACACAGTCACACAGCGACGCACGAACGTCAGCAGCGCACACATGGCGACACGTGGCGACTTTGATTCTTCATTGTGTTGTTTTCCAATCGTTGTGTGCAGACGGATGTCGCACGCAGTGAGTAAAGATTGTTGGGGCTTGATAAGGGTAGGGTGTGTGCGGGTGCGGCTGCTCGTGTGCTCTCACGTCATCCTCCCGGCCAGGGGAGGAATATGTGTATTGGTAGCACATTGAACACTTTTTGCCTTCCTGGATGGGTGGGTGGGTGGGTGGGTGGACTGACTTGGGTGGCGTGTTGTCCTATGCAAATTATGTACAGGCATACAGACAGACAGTCGCCAAGATACACAAATGTGCTCTCACACACACACGCACGCACACACACACAACACAGTGCAGAGCACCAGACACTGCTCACCACTCATGGCATTGCCCTTCAGCGGCACCAGCCGCCAATCGTTCCCCACACCTCTGTGCACATCAGCTCAAACAGATCAGGACGCCAGCGCGATGAGAAAACGGCCAATTTGGCCCCCATCATGCCCCCCCGTCTCGCCGACATTCCCAAACAAAATGATGAGCCCAAACACATGGTATCGCACACACGCCCATGACATGCACCACTACTGTGTTGCTGCATCCATTTTGTCTCGATATGCACTGCCGTCCATGTGTCACAGGATGCTTGCGTGGAGCGAGAGGATAGAACGGGAGAGGCAGGCTGCAACACGCAAGTCTACCAGCCTGCAGCGCTCGGCGTCTTCAAGTTTCGTTAATGTCTTTAACAGCACTCCCTCCAACCTGAAGATGTCTGCCTTCGAGGCTTCCCTCGGCCACGGTAAGGACGCAAAGGCGCGGCCGCCAATCTACCGCCCGGAGAACAGTCTGAGGGGGCCGCGGTCACTGCTCGACCTGATACTCGAAGAGAAGACAGCCACTCAGCCAAAGGCGGCGGAGAAGGCGACCTCAACTGTCGAGTGCCGTTTGCGGGAGGGAAGCCGCCTCAAGAGAGCTGTGGCACAGGGGATGATGGCCAAGAAAAGACCACCAGCCCCTCTGCCCAAGCTGAATCTGGATGACTTCCACCGTGGCTACGAGTCGATGTCTCGCCCACAAACGGCACACAGGTGAGCGGTGGGAGGAGAGACACGGGCACTACCATGCAGCGGCGCATCGATCTTACTGCTTGTACGTCTCATGTCAGGGCTCTCATTGCCCCCCGTGTGCAGAGGCCGCCATCTGTCAACAAAGCAGACATGTCGAAGGCCTCGGCCCGGACTCAGCGCAGCGACAGAAGCCGCCAGTCGGTACCGGCCAGCCTCTCAGCTGAGCTACAGCAGCTGGTAAAAGAAGAGGTGCGGAAGGCGATTCGAGAGGTCGTCACGGACCGCAACAAGGCAAAGGATGCATGAATTGTCAAAGACGGGCGGTTTTGTGTCAGTGAAAGGAAAGGGACTCCTGTGTGGCCATCGCCACTCACCATATCATCGCACATCAATAAATACATGTGTCCACAATATCAACGCACTGAATAAGAAATTCGAACCAGTTATGGACCAAGCTAGCGGCCCTCACTAATCGGCGCGTCAGCGAGACTGCCTGCAAAACAGAGCGGAGAAGGAAAGTCCGAGGGCGTGAGAGGCAATGTCCCATCGTGTGACCTTGCTCTGAGCATGTATGCGGCGCTGCCCGTCTCATAGATGGACGCCGACTGACGCAGACGGTCTCGCAGACTACCTTGGTGCCTCAATGGCCCTTCATCTGTCTCTCCTTGCCCCCCACTGACCATGTCTCCAGTTGCCCCACCATCTTGCTGACCGTCATTGTCGCCCCCTCTTTGTTGTTCTTGCTGCTGCTGCTGCTGCTGCCACTGAGCCATCCAGTAGGCGAAGTACGGCAAGTAAGACGGATGGATGGGAGGATACGACGATGCCAAATCTGCCCCTTGTCCCGACGGCACCTGCTGAGGCATCAGCGTCACTGCCGGCATGGAGTGCCTCCCACCTCCAATTGCAGTGAAGGGCCGCGACATCCGTGGGATCTGCAGGTGAGTAGGCATTTGGGCGCTGGATGGCCTTCTCACATCCTGCTGTGCCAGCCACGAGCTCCACGCCATCAATCGGGGGTCGTTTGGGGGGAGCACAGCCTTCGGGCTGAAAGGCAGGAGTGCGTAAGGATGACGCGAGGACCGTTGGGTGGGGATGGGGGAGATGGGACGGGAGTGCAATGGAGACGACCGATAGGAAGGTCCCGATATCGTCACCGCACTCGGCGGCCGTGTGGAGCTCGGCAACCGTGTTGACGTTATGTTCGAAGGGTGTCGCGAGGGCTTCTGGGCCATCCGCTTCGGCGGGTGCTGTCTCCTTGACAATTCGAGTCCAGTAGCTGACGCCGATGCCGACAGCGGCCTATTGTTTGCCTTCAATTCCTGCTCCTCAGGGATGTCCTCCAACAAGTATGGCGGCAACGTCATTGGCGGTGGGCTGGGTGCAGGGGCCGACACAGGCCGGCCTGGGGAGGTTGTCGCCCGCTTGCCAGATCTCTGGGAGGGCGGGACGGCCGCGCGGACGATGGAAGGCGCGGAGACTTGCCTAATAGAACGGAGAGAGGACGATGAAATCATGTTTTTGCTGCTTTCATCTTACCTTTTCATGGAGCGCTCGGGCACCGACAACGACGAGGCAGCCATCCGAGAGTCTTGTGGGGCTATCTCGCTTCTGGATGACCGACTTGCCGTCGCGCTCTGCGGTCTCAGTGTGGTCCGCGAGGCGCGAGTGGTGTATGTTGGCCGAGCCGACAAGAACAAAGGTGTGTTAATGTAGCCAGACAGCAAGGCCATCGGCTGGCCGCCGCCTGTGTTTGGCCTCGGGGAATAGCCGGCTTGCGATGCGTCGGCACTGAGAGGGCGGAGGGTCCGTCTCCCTCCGCGTGGGGCGGTGTCGACTGTGGTGGGCTGGCCCTTCCACAACAGTGCCAGCTCCTGCATCGATCAACCGATGACAAGAGAATACACAGTATGTGGGTCGTTGTGAGTGTATGTGAGGTGCACCTGAACTGCTCTGGCTTCGTCGGGGGGCAGGTCGTCAAAGAGCTCTTCCTCCTTAGAGGCCTCGTGATCGAGCGCCGCCCGGCCCACAGGACTCTCGTCGTGCAGCAACGCACTCGGAATCGCCGTCGACTCCTGCAGGCGAAAGATGAGCAAGAAGGTGACGAGGTGGATAACTCTTTTCTTTTGTCGTCTCTCACCTGTCTCAGTGCCATGAAAGTGTCCATGTCTTCCGTCCAATCTGGAGCATAGGATCCTGCCTGGAAGCAGTCAAGCCACTCGCTGGGGAGGGGCAGGCTGTTGCTGTAAGGGATCAGAGGCAGATACGCGTCGCGGCAAGGAGACACCCTATACACACAGACATGAAAAGGGGAGGGATGTGTGAAGGGGTGCAGGGTTTCCCTCCTCGATGACCTGAGGTATTGAGTGGGAACTTGCAAGTCCTTCTGCAACCCCAGTGTCAGCTTCAGCGAAGCACCGCCGTACCGCCGAGAAAACAAGAAGACATACGTCTGCTGCTTGGCATAAGACACGCTCTGAAGCCTACATACGCAGGGACACGATTCATTCAAAAATCTTTCCCGCCTCCCCACCCACGTGCACCTTGAGAGCGACAGGCTGCCCATGGCCAGCACCCGCTGTCCCTGCCGCAGACGACCGCCAACGAGCAACGACCCGGTCTTGGACGAAGCCGCCAGGAGGCTGCAGCACAGGAGACGAGAGGAGAAATCCACTTTAGTGTCTCCGTTGATTGGTTTCACTTACCCTGGAGCGATGTCTGATTCCTCCCTGAACCTGCTGCTCTCGGAGTCCTTGTCGTTGATTACCGCCTCTGGTGGGAGGACCTGCAACCGAGGAAGGCGTAAAAGGCTCTGGATGGTCAAACTGACACAGCGGGAGACAGCACATCAGTGCCCACGCACCTGTACAAGGAATAGCTCGAGCCCCTCTTCGCGGAAGAGATCGTGAAACAGAGGCTCCTTCGAGAAGATGTACTTGACCACCAGCCGATTGATGTGCGTCTGCACAAATATATCAGTCCGCCGAACCCATAGATACCAAGGACACCACGACAAATGCATGGAGTGCACGGCACCGGGTCTGTGGCGAGCACGTCGATGGGGATTCTGCGTGTCTGCCCAAAGAGTTTCATCACGATAATCAGTTTGGACGTCAGTGACCGCTTTCGCAAGTCGGCCGTGAGCTCCTCAATCGTGTGGAAGAACAGCATCTGGACAGATCAAGCATCGGCCATCCAACAACGCTTTTTCTCCAGCCTTGTACGTACCATTCTCCATTGGTACAGCTTTGCCGGCAGCGGCGCGGCTGAGGGACTCATCCCTTCCTGCAGACCGTACAAGTGGGCATCAAGCACACACGGAAATAAGCAAGGATAATCCTATAGTCGATCACCTTGAAGGCGACGGTGCTGACAGCCTCGCCGCCCTTGATGTTGCGGATCATGCTCTGCACCTTCTCTTGGTCCACCCCCTTCCGCTCCCTGTCAGTCCCCTGAGATGCATAGGACACATTGTTCATTCACACATGTCCGACGGCGCGACTCTGCTCCTGGTCGCACCGACCCTTTTTTGCTTCCTCTCCGACGCCCGCACGGTCTCTGTCGCCCTGGCGAACATCCTCGAGGAGGGCGTGCTGGCGAGTATCGACGCTCGGTGCCGTGGCTGCTTCGACAGGCTCAGACGGGGCCTGCTCTTCCTTCTCGCCGGCAACGCAACGGCCTTGCTCTCGTCTCCCATCCTCGATGCGGCCCGGGACCTCATCCTGGTGCAGACAGACAGGCAGACAGACAGACAGTGACAACGATGGGTGCTGGCAGGTGGCTGTTGTTTGTCTTTTTGCTCGGTCGGTTACTGTTCGGTTGCCGGCTGCTGCATGGATTTGATGAGCTGGCCGCGCTGGTCCTTGAGTCTGTCGATGCGGTTGGCGAACTCGGGCTTGCCGAGATCCCGCTCGGGCGTGTTCTCCAAATGATCGTACAGCTGGAAGAAAAAATGGTCACGCAGCGACGACCGCGTCTGATTGGTCCATTGATGAACACCCAACAGACAGGGGCACGTGGGCAGCAAATGACGTGCGTAGAGTAGGTTTTCTGTAGCATTTGTTACATACGCGAATGGAGTCGATGACGCCTGTGAAGAGAGAGCAGTCATCAGAGAGGTCGGCATCTTTCCGGGGGTGCAACTGTACACTGCTGCGGTCGTCACTCGCTCTCAAAAAGGGGGCGGTCCTCATCTCAATCTGCACACAGACGCATCAAAAGACGGCTTCGTGTCTCGGTGCCATCATCAGCAGTGCCTGGCTGACCTCGATCAGCTCCCTCTCAGCTCGATACAGCGAGAAGCATGTCTGGCAGACGGGCAGCTGGGCACTGAGGCGGTCCGACGACATGTACGGGTCGCAGTGGGTGAGTATCTCGAGGTCGAGGCCCCGCTTGCGCATGTGATGAAGCATCTCGAGCATCATCCGGCCGTTCATGCGCTTGCGGAGGAGGCGCTTGTCCTGCACGATGCCGCACGACTCGCACTTGCTCTGCACCTTCTTGTCGTCCAAACTGCATAACCCACCACACAATGCTTTGTCTGTCTGTGTGATGGTCTGCCTGCACACCTTCGCAGGACTTTTGGCTGTCGTTCCCGTTCAGCCTGCTCTTGATCCTCATCAAGGATGTCCTCTTCGCCACTGCACATGTAAGAGCTTGAGTTGCCGTTCGTTCCATCTATGTTGCTGCATTGCCTGCCTTTTCGCATCACTCACATGGCAGCCACAACGCCTGAGGGAACCCAATGCGGGTGGACGCGAAAGGCCTTGACCTGGAGGAACACCCAACCTCTCTCGCCATTGATCGCATCGACTACCAGCTCCTCAAGACGCATCCTGGCGGGGCAAGACAGAACAGAAAAAACGGTGAGACACAACACTCGTCCGCTTACTTGAAGAACCTCTGGGTGAAGTAGAAGATCCGCCTTGCGATTTCTGCGGGCTGGCCGATGGTCGACCCGGCCACTGGATAGACGCGGAACGTCTCGGTCAGTCCACTCTTCGGCTATCAATGGGGACCTCACGCAGCAAGAAACAGGACACAGCCGCAAGCAATGACACAGTCAGTGAGGGATGACCTCTCATCCACTCTGTGTGAGTGAGGACCGCGGCTCACCAGAGGGGCGTTGTCGACTGACACGGTGCACTGGGCTGTCAGGTCGCCGCCATACTCTTTGGTTTGCTCTGGTGAGAGGAGGTTGACCAGTGTGAAGCCGTAGGGAGCCTTTGTCGCCCTTTCAGAACGAGAAAGGCACAAGACAGTGGATGCGAATGTCAGTTGATCTCTCACCTCCATGCCACTCTCGTGAGCTGGAAGCGCCGACTGCCCTTTGGGGGCACAAACGCCTGATGGAGGGAAGGAACTCGATGGTAGTAAACAAGTCTGAGGCGACAAAGGTACCTGGTAAACACACTCACTTCCCGGTTCGGTCGATGCGAGGGTGTTAAGGTCTAACACACGCACACTGACGCGGAGCAGCAATAAAAAGGGAGGCGTGAAACGTGGACACGTTTGTGTCTCCGACTGACCTATTGCTCTGTGGCGCGTTGAATTTCGGTTGTTTCATGACGACGACCGGCCTGGTGAGGAACTCCTTCATGGCCATTTTAGCGTCGATGTTCCTCTCCGCTGCACGCTGTCGCGCCTCTACCATGAATCGAGCCTCTGACCAGACGCATTGCGGCAAATTGACACATTTCGGTTGTTTCCCTTCTTTTTTCAACTCACCGACTTCCTCCTCCATGACTTTGACGGCGTTGAAGTCCAGCTCGACAGAGCAGCTCAGCCGGTGAGGCAGCGGGGCAGAGGACATGTCGGCCTGTGGTGTGCGGTCCTTGGCTGCGGCGACATCTGGCGTGTTGCGGATCATGAATTTCTCAGAGGCCGTGCAGTAGACGGTGTCCTGACAAGGAATGGGAACGAGTGTCATCGGCGTTTGTCGAGTCGAGTCCACTGTCCCTTGTCAGTCAGTCAGTCAGTCACCGGTACGGGCACATTGAGCCGCTTGAACGTTTGTTCGATCTCTTCCGCGTCCCTCAGCCCTCGGGGGCCGTACAAAAGGCCCTTCCACCAACCAAACGCTGCAGCCGGGAAACAAGCGCATGAGCACCGGTGGCCTAGACACCTGTCCTGTCCTCTCGTCATCTACCTGGCCTTGTGGGGAGGTCATCGTAGTAGGACGGTTTGTCTGGCTGAAAGGTGAACCTGCACGAACATTTTGCAGAGGAAGACAGACATCTGGAACATTGAAATGCGTACTTGTTGATGAATGTCAGCCTCCTGGAGGCTTGGCCCTTCTCAATCACACCCGCCCTGCAGCAGAGCCACACGAATCAACACTTCAAGCCAGGAGACGGCGTACCAGATCATTGTACCCACCGATCACTTGTTGTCTGCGGCGAGATCAGCGCAGCGGCTCTCTTCTTGATATCTGCGATGATGGCACGCTGTGCACTCGGGAGGGCTTTGGCAGCCGACTCCAACTCGCGGAGATCAGCAGCCCTACACAAACGAAAGTCGCAGGACAAAGAATGAGCAGAAAACCATATGAACGATCAATACGCCATCAGTGTGTACCACTTACGTCAGGAATGTCGCCATCCTTTGCGTCGACCGACGTCCCCAATTTTCGAGCGTCCTCAAAAAAAGTCGAGATGCGAGCTAAGCAGCCGATCGCCTCAGAATTTCAGTCGTTTTTCGCGCTATGGAGGACTGTGAGCATCGTAAGTGCCCTCTTGATGAGGATGGTGCCGGCGCCGATGCGCGAGAGGAGGTGATGGACCGCAATGATGAGGAGATGGAGGACGCACAGGTCAAACAGGTAGGTCCCAGGGGCTGCATCATGACCCTAGAGAGGCCTTCATGACGGCCGAAGGAAAGCCGCAAGGCGGCATCATCCCTCTGCTGCCCAAACGTGACGCGCGCTGCGTTTTGATTTTTCTCAGGCTGCTGGGAAGTGTGTGAGTATCAAGGACGTCGTTAAGGTCCTGTTGCCGAAGGGCTGCCCACTCATGATAACGGGTGAGGCCGCTGCACAGCTCTTTGTGCCCACGCGCCCCATCCCGTCTCTTTGCCGTGCCTACGGCTCGATGGATCCTTCTCTTCTTTTGTGTTGCGTCGGTCTGTCGGTCTGTCGGTCTGTCAGTGTGTCGGCGTGATGCGGAGGGTCGCATTTCCAAGTTGAAGGTGCACTGGAGGATGGAGTTGTATCGCTTCAGGTTCCGCGTCAAAAACGGCGATGTCAAGGTGGGTCGCTGGATGGGCAACACACATCACACCCCACCTGAGAATGAGAAGGCATCGCTGCACAGCGTCCTTTGCCCTGCTCTCCTCTCGATTTGTGTGTGTGTGGTCAGGATGCGGTGTTGAAGGCGATTGAGCAGGCCAACAAACGTGCCTGCCTGCTGGCCAAGCCCCGGATGAAGAAGGAGGAGTATCTGACCCGACTCGACCAGTATGAGTGGACGCCATATGGACCCATCCCCAAGGACGGCAATACCCATGCCCCCGCGGCCGCTGCGGCTGCTGCGGCTGGCCCACCGATCAACCGGGAGGAAGAGGTGAGCTACCCAGTGAGATGGGGGGAAAAGAAACACGTGCAGGTTTATGCTGATCTGTGTGCATCATGACAGGACGAGAATCAGGCGATGCTGCCCCCACCGCTGCCCCCGCTGCTGCCCCCTCTGCTGCCCCCTCTGCTGCCCCCTCTGCTGCCGCCGCTGTTCGACGAGTCACCCATGGAACTGCCCGCCAACCCCCTCCCCCCACCCCTGCCCAACC